CATGTAGAATTTCCTGCTCCCCAGCAAACCAAGAGATCAGTCCTCAGTGTCATCCCCAGCATGCTGAACAGAGCACAGGGTGAGGAGTGCAGAGCGAATAAGCCTTCATGGCCCCTTGACCTCAGAGTCACCCCTTGTGGACACAGAGCACTCACCCCAGGTCAGAAGCACAGCTACTCCAGTCACCAGCCTCATACTTCAAGGACAAGCTGGGATCAGGAGCCCAGAGCTGTGTCTGATCTTAGGCTTAAAGAGGTTCCAGGGAACAGAAGTGACAGCTGCTCATAGAGACTTACAAGGAGTGGAGCCACCACTGTGCTGTTGCCAGGACTTGTCAGCCCATGAGGGAGGAGTTCCTTGTCTAGGTCTTCCTCCCCTGCTCCAGTCACATCCCTAAAAGAAGGAGGGAATATCAGACACCCCCAGTTCACAGGCTGCCCACTGTCATCATCTGAGAAGTTTAAAGTCAGGCTCAGGATAAGGAGCACCATCACAATGAGGTGTCTGTCCACAAGCACTGTCCCAACATCTCTTCCTGAAAGAAACTGGCTGATGCTCCATGAAGCTCCTACAGAACGTTGTTAAACCCCAGAAGATGGCACTGTGTTCTGTGTTGGAAGGAGGTGAAATTTCCATGCACATTCTGGAAAATGTGTGTGAGGTTCACAAGTAGGCAGTGATGTGCTCAGGGGGACAGGAAAAATCAGTAACATTGAGAGTAGTTGTAAATGTCCTGGGGCTCAGGGTTCCTCTAACGGCCCCTGGTATCATGCATCAACCACCACTGAGGTCGACATGTCTCTGTGCCTCTGTTGTGATATAGTAACTGATGCCATGCATAGTGTGCCCCTCACCCTCCTGGAACAGGGGTCCTTAATCCTCATGTCCTCTATGCCCATGCTTGTAAGTGCTGCGCACCGAGGATGCTGAGGCAGGGAGAAAAGAGTGAAGGGAAAGCAACAAGATGGCGGTGGGGGAGATGTGGTAGAAAAAGTTAGGGGAGGGAAGGAAAACAATATATGGAATAGAGATGGCGAGGGATCATCAGAGAAGAGAAACGGGGAAAACGCTGTTTGGAGGGGTACGTGGAAAAGGCTTAGGTAAGGGCCCCAGAATCTTTGACTAAACATATTCAACAAAGGATAACGAAGTACAAGCTGGCTAAAAAAGAAGAAAGTGTTTCGTTTTTCCTTTTTCTGTGGAACAGCAATCGAAAACATAAATGTTTCTTTCCCTTCTCCCTGAAGTTTGCACATGAAGCAGTCCCCTCTTGTGACTGAATAGATGAACTGTAGTGCTAACCCCAGGCCAAGTCAGCCAGCCATCTTTTGAGCCCTCAGGTTTGAAAGTAAAACAATAAAAAGGAATTCGCTGTAATGCCTCCTTACTCATTTTTGTTTCTTGGTCCTATAACACTTCACAGAAGATTTTAATTATTTTTACTGCTTTATTTCAGTATATCCCCATTATGCTCAGTTGTTGGCTGCTCTTTAATTTTCCTTTCTGTCTAAACTTCCCATGTTTAAATGATATTTCATGTTTATAAGAGAGGATGACACAGATGAGGCCCTCAAGAGGGACCTGTCCTGTGGAAATTCGCACACAAATATACACACACGTCAGCAAGCACTACTACTGAAAATATAAGGATAAATAAAACTGAAATTATTTAAAGTAGGTAGGAATGCATTATTTTCCTTCATTAGCAAAAGGTATAGGAAAATTAACAGTAACTTTTTTGTTTGTTAGTTTCTTCGCCTTTAATTTTTAGAAGCTGGTAGAAACCATACAAAGTGGCATTTTGAATAATGTAGAATGACAAAAACTACTGAGTGACTGTGGAGAATCTAAAAATAAGCTTTTCTAGTCTACTGGCTCATTTCAGAGTATTTTAATTTTAGAGGATCTTATCTCTCAGGCTGAATGAGGGGAGGTTATCTTTCTTTGCTTGATGAAAACCAAAATAATGTACTTGATTTACTTCCAGAAAATCAAGAGAATTTGATAAAAGGCTAACACTTCTCTGTGATAAATATGCTGATCAAACAGAAGATCAATTCCTGAGTTTAATACAGCGTATCAATGAAAATACCAGCAGTCAGTGTTATGTACTACAGGGTCACCATAAAGACAAGTAGACTATCCCCCTGTTTTTCACAGTTGTACTGGGGGGCCTGGGTCAAACCCAGAAAAGGAAATAACATGAATTAAGTTTCAAAAGGGAGAAGTTACACCCTGTTTATTCATGGGTGATACACTTGTGTAGGCAGGAAATACAGAAGTGTCCATGAACAAATTGTAAGAACTAGAACTCACAGGTGTGTTAACAAGGCCATTAAATCCCCAAATCAATTTCATTTCTAGATTCCAGCCAAAAGCATTAGAAAAAGGAATTAAAATGTCATTTATCCAAAAAAAATAAATAAATAAATAAATAAATAAATAAATAAATAAATAAATAAAATGTCATTTATCAAATACTGTGAACTAATTTAATACAAGGTATGCAAGTAATCTACAAAAATTTTTTGACATTAAGAAAAGAAATTAGAGAAGGCCTGCATAAAGAGAATATCATATGAATCTAAAGACTCCATATATTAAGATGTCAGTTGTCCCAGATGAATCCACAAGTTCAACACAATCTCAATCAAATGACTACTAAGCTTTTGTGGTAGAAGCTCAGTCTATAATTTATGTGGAAATGCAAAGACCTAGAATAAATCTTGAATAAGAAAAAGGAAGTTTGACTTGCATTTCCAGATTTCAAAACATACATGAAGTCCCAGTAATTGAGACAGAATGTTCTGTTGGCATGAGGAGAAAATAAAGCCACTAGCAAACAGAAGCAAAATCAAAAACAGGCAATTCTATCAATTGCTGTTCTCCAAAGATGCGTATGCAATTCCATGGGGAAAAAGGTCTTTCTACAATAACAGCTAGCGCAAATTGGTGCTTGTGTGTTTTTAGTACCGTGTTTGTAGGTGTCTTTACATTTACTTGCTTCATTGCACTGGCTACAATGTCTAGCAGGACGCGGAAGGAGAGTGACGAGAGAGTGGATGTTCGTGATTTGTTCCCAGCCTTAGAGAAAGGTACATAGTCTTTTACCAGTAAACATACTATTAGCTGTTGAGGAAATTCCCCTCTATTCCTAGGTGTCTCAGCGTTTTCCCCATGGTGACTGTTCACTATTGGCAAATGCTTTTTCTATATAGATTAATATGGTCAAATGACTTCTTTTTATCACTGTTAATATGGTGACTTCTATCAATTGATTTTCAAACATTGAAGAAAGTTTTTCATCACTGAGAAAAACTGCATTTGTGCTTGGTATATTAGTCTTTTTATTTACTGATGAATTCTACTTGCTAATATTTTGTTAACCAACTTTGTTTCTATATTAATGAAGGATAGTACTCTGTAGTATTTTCTTTGGTTTTTGTTTTTGTTTTGTTTTGTTTTTTGTAAGGTCTTTAACTGATTTTGGTATCAGGGGAATACGAGCTTCAAAAAATTGATGAGGAATTACTATTTTCTTTCTGTTTTCTGGAAGAAATTCTGTAGAATTAGCAGTAATTTTTCCTCAATCTTTGGTAGAATTATCCAGTAACACCATATGAGCCTCAGAACTTTTTTTTCAGTTAAAAATTCATTTCTTCATAGACATTGTGACTTCAACTTTCTCTCTCTCCTGCCCTGAGGACAGGTGAGGAGGGGCTGCTCCTGGAGCCCCACAGCGAGCTCTGGGGACAGGCAGCAGGTGCTTTGAGAGCGCTGTGCCTCTGCGCAGAAGTAGGTTCCCACATCTGCAGTCTGGGCGGCCGGGATGTGCAGGAGGCTGTACTTTCTGGTCTCTCCAAACCGAGCTGTCAATCTCCCCTGCGTCTTCACGTCTCCACCCTTAGTTAATAACATCAACAAGACTGGACGTCCCCCAGGCTGCTGCTTATACCACTGTAAGCTGTCTATAGTGCTGGAGGTATTGCAGTATGTGGTGAAGTTCTCTCCCTCTTGTAGGAGCACGAATTCAGGAATTTGCTTTATCTGTTGTCCATTCACTTCTGTTCAGAGAAAAAGTGGGAGGCATCAGAGTCTGGTTAGATGTCTATTCCCTCAGCTACAATGGTCTTTCTCATTCTTCTGTGTACTTTCTCCTTCTTTCCATGTCTCCCTCCCCAACTACCTCTTTCTTCCTTTTAATTTTTCTGTTTTTCTCAACATCTTTGCTCTCAATGAGGAAATCTCATTCCTGCAGTTGCCTGCAGATAATAA